TTAATGGAGTAACTCCAGTTCTAATTAGATTGATTTCCTTTCCAAATATTCGTATACACATTGTCTCATTCAGTGTTCATAACTACTCACTGAGGTACTGATTTTTCTGCCTATTTTACTCATTAACTGGTATTTGAGAGAGAAATATGCAATCTATAAACTCAAAAGAAATAGCTTGTAATGAGTTCATTTGAACCATCAGTCATGTTTCCCACAAATGACGTAAGTCTTTAATTGCCTAACTTTTCCAAAGAAGTAGCAAAGCATGCCATTGGTTTTGTGGCTTTCAATCTTTTCTAGAACATTCTTAAGCAGTATCCATTAGAGAACTTAGGAGAAGACAGTCTCCATTAAGTGTGTATTACCCCATCATCATAGACTGGGAGTTACCTATTTCTCTATATTGCAAGGCATAGCAAAATATGCAATACAACACACTCTTACAGACTTTATAAATCATAACCCATCATGCAGATGACAGACAAACCCAAGAAAAAAATGAAAAAATGAGGGCGAGATTTCTATTCTTCATAAATCATGCTTCATTCCAATGTATTCTATATCAGAGGAGGATAACTGATTCTATTTGGATGAGCTCATTTAAACATGTCAAGCTCTTTCACAAAGATTAATTAAAATATGTCAGCTATGCTGGTGGCAAAGCCATCTTGTTTTAAATCTTCAAGAAGTTATATACAAAGCAGGATTACAACTGTTCAGCCTTTAGCATGACATGCATAAAATCAATATTTCAAGCTCCTTTGGGGGTTACAGCCCAGCATGTTGCATATGAATCGTCATAATGACCTCACCCAGCCCCTCCTGTCCAGTGGGAAATGGGATTACCCAGCCTTCAAGGAGGGACTCAAAGGCTAAGCAATTCCTAAGAGTTGTGGACAGGCTGATGGTTTTCTAGAAGACAAATGTCAAATGTACAAGTTTCCTAGATGCCATGCCATAATCAGTCCCAGATGCTCCAAACTCAGAGAGCCAAACTCAGTCATTGGAAAGGCTTTGAGGACAGCAGAGCAAAGGCATGGCCAGAACCCATCGTCACTGCCTAGAAGTTCGTAATAGCAAGACTTCTATACAGCCCAGAAGGGCTTCCCAGGAACCGCTAGTGGTGAAGAATCCACCTGCCAATGCAGGAGATGCAGGAGACATGGGTTCAAACCACTGGTGAAGAAGATCCCCTGGAGGAGGAAATGGCAACCTGTTTCAGTATTCTTGCCTGGAAAATTCCATGGACAGAGGAGCCTGGCAGGCTACAGTCCATGGGACTGCAAAGAGTTGGACACAATTGAGCACACAATATGATTATATACTCCAGAAAAAAATGAACCTCAAGATTTCCTCTGGGAGATCTTATCTTTTTTGAGTTTTTATCTTGTATCTCACTGAATGAAAGCAGTTCTCATTGACTGATCTTTCTGGACTTATTATAATCAATATTTTAATTTCTGTATTCTTTAACTTTGTGAAGAACTAGATTCTCCTTTGCAATTGGGTTGATTTAAGATTCCCACCAATTCTTGCCCTGTGTTTTGAAACTTCAGCTCCACTTGAGGATGCCTTAAGGATAATCTGAGAAAGATATGGTTAGGATTGACTAGCACAATGTTTTAGCTGGGGTGATTTTGCTTCCCAGGGGATGCTTAACAATATCTAAAGACTTTTTTTTTTTTTTTTTAATTTTAACAGCAGGGGAGTTGCTACTGGCTTCTGGTGGATAGAGGTCAAAGATACTTATAAACATCCTACAGCACACATGACAGCTTTCACAACAAGGAATTATTCAACCCAGTTGCCAATAATGCCACGGTGAAGAAGCCTTGAGTAATGGCAAAAGCTTAAGTTTAATGTCAGAGAAAGCTCACGTTTAAACACTCTCTCCAACTATGTTGTAGGAAGCAAAGAAAGTGACAGACTAATTATTCCAGTGTTGACTAATAACAAATCTCTGGAAAAAAAGATGTTGCAGAAACCACTTTTGTGACAGGATGGATGAGCTAGAAAATACATTTGGCCTTTTGGTTGGCCATTAAAACACAATTTGGAAAGATAAACTCCAGGGATAACTGGGGAACAGAATTGATAACCAAAGAGATTGCCCATTTGTGACATATTTTGGCTGACTTAAGGACCCTCAAAGTGTTAATTTCCAGAAAAACTGAAGGAGGAATTAAGATAAGCATCAGCTATGTGTTGTTTTTAAGCCACAGTTGAAGAGAGATCATGAAATACATTTTTTCATTCATGTCTGTCTCTCCCCTATGTGACAAACATGGCATGCACAATTGGCGCCTATATTATCCTTTGGGCAATAAGTTATCCCAGTTGCCTTAGCGACTGTCAATATTTGTCTGGTATGTCACAGCCCCAAGTTGGCTGATGTCTGATTCAACATTTACTTGTAAAGTTTAGGAAAGAGAGACACCCAGTGGTCTAAATGAAACTGACCTGCTGAAAGCCATCTTCTGCTTCATTTTATTTTCACTTGAGAATGTTTATTAACTTTTAATCTGCTCCTCTTTTAATGATCAGCAATACCCTCAGTTAAAATTATGGACACAGAGAAAAACAAGGGTTGGAACACTTACTTTACCTATAAAGGAGCCAACAGCAAATATTTTAAGCTTGGTGTGCCACATATTAACTACACAACTCTACTGTTAGAGCATGAAGGCAGCATTAGACAATAGATAAACAAATGAGCATATCTATATGGCAATAAAATTTTATTTACAAGAAGAAGCAGCAGACCAGATGTGTCCTACAGGCAATCCCTTACCACCTCTGCAAAGGAAAATGGAATCGGTACGCCTTTTGAAGCTACACTTTCAAATGTCCCTTCATTCTCCCAAATTTCCAGAGACTTGGAAGAATTCCTGCAAAAAGAAATAAGATCAGCATTCATTTAATAACATAATGCACAACAGCTATGTATTGTGTGTGTACTGTTCCAAGCAGTATTTATTCTAAATACCGGGATAACAGCAAGGTACAAAGCAGTGAAAAATCCCTGTCCTGTGGAGCTTATAATTCCAGTCAGTAATATACTATGTAAATAAAATGTCGAAGAGACTTTCCTGGAACTTGTTCGTATCTAGGGGACTTTCTGTACAAGAAGGAATGGAATTGCCATTGGAGAAAGGATGGTAAAGAAAACCTCAATGAGAAGGTGAGGGTGTAGCTCATGGGAACAGTAACCCAAGCAGAGGAAACAGTGAGTGTTCAGACTCTGAGCAGGAGAGATCAAAGATGCCCCTGTGCCTGGGGCAAAGTGGTGACGGGAAGAAAAAGAGGTGAGAACATCAGAAAGGAGGTGAGAACATCAGAAAAGTGAACGGAGCAGGATGATAGCAGGCCAGTGGTCATTGTGTGGAATTTGGATCTTATACTGAGTGGGGTATTTTGAACAGAAGAGTGATATGTGACTTAGTTGTGGAAAGGGTTGCTCTGACAGCTCTATTGAGAAGGCGGTCTATGGAAGCAAAGATGGAAGGAGGAAGGTCTATTATGAGGATGCTGCAGTCATCCAGGTGAGAGACACCTGTGGAAGTGGTGAGGATGGTGAGAGGTACAGGAGTTGTACATTAGAACAAACAAGCTCTGATGACATACTGGATGCATCAGTGTGGATGACATACTGGTTGTAAGAGAAAGTGTGGGTCAAAGACAATATCAAGGTTTTTGTTTCCTGCATACTGTGCATGCATGCTCAGTCACTTTAGTTTGTCCGACTCTTTGCGATACCATAGACTGTAGCCTTCCAGGCTCCTCTGTCCATGGGATTCTCCAGGCAAGAATACTGGAGTGGGTAAACATTCTCTCTTCCATGGGATCTTCCCAACACAGAAATCAAACCCACGTCTCCTCCATTGCAGACAGATTCTTTACGATTGAGCCACTGGGGAAGCCCTCCTGCCTGCTGCAGTTGGTATTAATACTTTGGATGGAGAGGACTGGAGTAGGAAGAAATTTTTTATTAGGAGTATATCAAGCGGTCACTTCTGGATATGTTATGGGATGCTGTTAGACAAATAGATAGTTAGATGTATGAGTCTGAACTTCAAGGAAAACTGGTGGCTCAGACGGTAAAGCATCTGCCTACAATGTGGGAGACCCGGGTTTGATCCCTGGGTCAGGAAGATCCCCTGGAGAAGGAAATGGCAACCCACTGCAGTACTTTTGCCTGGAAAATCCCATGGACAGAGGAGCCTGGTAGGCTACAGTCCATGGGGTCGCAAAGAGTCGGATATGACTAAGCGACTTCACTTTCACTTTCCACTTTCACTTTCATGAATAGTACAGGAATGGCATTGAAAGTCATGTGACCAGAGGAGATAGCAAGAAAATGAATATAGATGGGGTAGAGAAGAAGAGAATTCACTTGATATGAGACCTTGGGTGCTGCAACTTTCACTAGGTAGAAAGAGGAGGAAGAACTAGGTGAGAAAATGGAGAAACTACTAGAAAAATAAGAGGAGAACCAGAATGTGAGATCCTGGAAGACAAGTGAAAAGAAAATATGCGATAAGATGTGTTATATACTAGTACCTCAAGCACAGTGAGCACTGAGAACTCATTTAGTTGGATTTATCAATGCGGAGGTCATAAACAGGGTCAGCATATACTTTATTATCCAAACCAAGGCATTTTGATAGTGAAAAATTATTCTGGGAGAACAGGCAAAGGCCCAGACTGTCTGTACAAACTGAGATGTGCAGTCACCCTAGTCATGGAAATGTTGGCAAGTGCAGTTTCATGGGTATAATAGGTGATTGCCTAAATGAATTGGGTTCAAAAGAGAATGGATGGAGGGGAATTAGGGGCTGTGATCCAGATAACATTTCAAGGAGTGTGCAATAAAAGGAAATTGAGAACAATATCGGGTAAAGTGGGGTTTTGTTTAGTTTTGTAGATTGTTGTTGTTTTTTCGACCATGTGGCAGATGTGATCTTAGTTCCCTTGCCAGGGATCGAAACTGCACTCCCTATATTGGAAGTGTGGAGGCTTAACCACTGGATGACCAGGAAAAGTCCCCATTTAGTTTTTAATATGGAGGATAGTATAGAATTTGGTGCAGTGATGGGAATGATCTAAGTTAAAAAAAAGGAAGAAAATTTGAGTCAAGGGGTAGAAAGAAGAGAATTGCTGGAGTCATGGGTTCCAAGACACAAACAGAAGAGCTGATGTTAGATATACACATAGGTATTTTTTCCATAATAATGGGAGGCAAAGTAGAGAAAATAAACCCAGATTCAGGCTGATGAGTAGATGGTGTGGTGGGAACTTTAGAACTTCTCATCGCCTTGATTATAGTTTCTTATCTTGATGACAGTGAGGAGGGGGGAAGAAGGAAGAGGAGATGGATGTATAGCTGATTGAGCAGGGGAATAACAGCACCCACGGTCAGCACTGACACTCGCTGGATTGCAGAGGGCACGGGGGGTGTGGTTGACTCAACTCAATGCAACCGTGAATGATGTGTGGGAAAGAACTGGCCCCCAGAGAAAAATCTGAAATTGAAGTAATGTTAGACAAACATGGAATGAACGTTGGCACAACAAGCTCAACAGGCCCTAGGTCCTGGTCCCAGTTCTTCCATTTATCGTCTGTGGTACAATACTTTGAACAAGTTCCATAATGTCTTTGGGCTTTTGTACCTTCACATAACAAAATGCAGATCATAATACTCACCTCACCATCTTTCTGTGAGGACTGAATGAGACAGTGTGGAAAAACATCAGATACTGTTTGTTTCCAATAGGACTTTTGAATTTGAAAGATAGGCAAATTCTGTTGCTTTAGAATGTTAATAATAAATAAGGCAATCTTTTGGGGAGAATCGATAAGCTATTCCACTATTAATAGAAAAATCACCAACAATGTATCCAAGAATCATTTAAAAATGTCATTAACTTGTGAAGTCCACAATGATTTATAATGTATTTGCGCATATGTTTCTTCACTAGGTTCTCAATTTTTTAAATTCAAAAGATCTGATTGAAAGCAGTATGTGATGTTATGATAACATCAATATGTGACCACTTCATAATCAAATTATGAAATCATTACACAACTATTATTATAATATGATTATTTAACATCATAACATCACATACTACTTTCAATCAGGTTGTTTGAATTTTAAAAAATGAGAATCAGTCAGATACGACTGAGTGACTAAGCACAACAAGGCACATTGCATTTCCAAACTATTAAGTCACCGTCTATAGGCTGACCTCAAATTCTTTGACCTCAAATTCCAGTGAATGTCAGAGAAATGTGTGAGAAAGATTCATAAAGCATTTCCATTCTGTAGAATAGCTGAATTTTTAAAGTAAACATAGAATATAATTTTTTATTATTCTGAGGCCAGTATGAGGGAAATGATTGACATTTCTACTGAGGCATGTTCACATTTAAGCACCTTGGCTAAAGCATATGACCTCTAAGAGTCCTTTCAACTCTGAGCATCTGTACTGAAGTCTACTCAGGTTTATTCAGATCAATGGCTTATCAGTTCTGCACAAATTACTTCCTGGATCCAGAGCTGATATAACTCAAATTCACCAGATCCTTCTTGTCTGCAGATACACATGAAGTGACCTTTTCATCTATAATCAAAGACTTTGCTCTGACCTCTGCATCTACAGAATCCCTCACCATCCCTCTAAATCCCTCTCTCACACATTTTGAGAATCTTGTGAAGTACAAGTTCATAAGTCCTCACATTCAGGCTGTTAGCTGCTGACCCCAAGGGCAAATCTTCTAGCTTCTTTGTGTCTGTTTCATTTTCCTAAATCTATGCCTGTCCATAAAATATCTTGAGATAGGCTTTCCACTGTTATTGTCAACACCCATCCTGAGAAAGCCAGCACAGCGTCCAACGGCAACTGTCTCCACAAGTTCCCAAAGCTGGCCAGCTTGGAAATGTCGGAGAGGTACTGAGCTCTAAGCAGAGGTAGAGTGTGGTGTGTGTGCTCAGTCATGTCCAACTCTTCGTGACCCCAAGGGCTGTAGCCCACCAGGCTCCTCTGTCCATGAGATTCTCCAGTCAAGAATACTGGAGTGGGTTGTCGTTACCTCCTTCAGGGGATCTTCCCAACCAGGGACCAAACCCTTATCTCCTGCATTGGCAGGCAGATTCTCTACCGCTGAACCAGCAGGGAAACCCAGAGATAGAGAGAAGGGCCAATATTGTAATCCTTTGACTCATTCATTCATTCATTCAACATTAACTGAGCATCTCCTGTATAGAGCAAGAGAGCTTAGGGCTTAAGAGTCAAGACTTTGGGGTCAGACTTAAGTAGGTTCAAATTCTACTCTGTTACTTACAAGCTTTGTGATCTTGGTCAAGTTCCTTACTCTCTCTGAGCCTCAGTTTACTCCTCTGTGAGATGAACCTCATGACAGACCTCTCTCATAGGGTTGCGGTGAGAATTAAATGAGATAATACATGTCATGTTGAGACCTGGATCAAGATATATCAGCTTTCATGCTCACTTAAGTTCCAGACTTTGGTTTGGCTCTAGGAATGGAAATTTGCATTATATCTGCTTCATTTGGTTGTTTTAAGTGCATCTAGCATGACCACTTAGGAACCAGATCAAAAACAATCTGAGGTCCCTGGGGAGATTTGAGACTCGCTTTGGGTCAGCATCCTTCCCATTCACCTCAAAGCATTTTACACACTGGCTTTCAAAGGTCTTTGTCTTGTTTTCCTTCTTTGGCCTCTTCTCTTTGCCTAGACACTTTCCGGAAATGGTGAAAATTTTAATCTTTCTTTGAAAATTTGATTTTTACATATTTCTTTTTGGCTGTGCTGGGTCTTCGTTGCCAGGCAGGGTTTCTCTAGTTGTGGCGAGTGGGGGCTACTTCCTAGTTGCAGTGTGAGGGCTTCTCTTGTTGCAGGGCATGGGCTCTAGGCTGCACAGCCCTCTGTAGTTGTGGCTCCATGGGCTCCACAGGGGTGGCTCTCAGGCTCTAGAGCACAGGCTCGGTACTTGTGGCATGCAGGCTTAGTTGCTCCGCAACATGTGGGATCGTCCTGGGTCAGGGATCGAACCTGTGTCTCTTGCATTTGCAGGCAGATTCTTTACTTCTGCACCACCAGGGAAGCCTCTTAATCCTTTCTTTTGTTCTCTGATCATTACTACTTCCAAACTCCACTCTGAGTTCCCAAATCTGTCTCCCCATTGCCTTCATTATGGTTCCCAGCACCAGCAGCTTTTGTCCCAACTACTTCAAAAGCTTTTTAATTCATCTCTCTATTTCCTCTCTAATCCTGCTCTATGATTTTTATAAGAAAGCAATTGAATAATCCATTCCTCTGTCCATGTAGCAGCTTCCCATTGTATTTTTAGCAAAATCAAAGTTAATTACCATCGAAATCACTAACAACTGAAATCCATTCTTCTCTCCACAGTGTCAACTACACGTTGGCACTCACCATGGGCACTTGCCATCATCTACCTCTACAAGGACTAACTCATGCTCTTCTGCAGCTGCTGACTTTCAACATGGCCTGAAAAGGAGTTCAGGGTGGAGAGTAGAAATGAGGCAAGGTATGCGGTCCCCGGGGTTGCAAAGAGTGGGACACTACTGAGCGACTGAACTGAACCGTGCTCTGGAAAAAGCTGGTGGAACAGGTCTTCAGATAATTGGATATTTCCAGGAGCTGATTTTATGAGCTCATATGTAGAAAAGCACTAAAATTCCTCATGGTAATGACTGCTCCTCATGACTAGCAGAAACCATTAGCAAAAAAATATGTGCTTGATTGCATGTACTCCCCTTCACCAAAATCACATATATACTGGCCTTCCCCACTGCCTCTTTGGAGCAGTTTCTCAGAGCTATCTGACGTACTGTCTCTTGGGCTACAGTCCTCATTATTCTGATACATTTCAATTACTGTACCTGCTGATATCATTTATTATTGTGGCCTTTTCTGCAGTTTATGTATCTTTCAAACTACTGATTGCAGTATTTGTTTGGATCACCTTAAATTCCATAAATAAAAGAGAAAGAATGGTTTCAAAAAAGCAATTTCCTCAGGTATCTGATGTAGCTGAATACTGTGTGACACTTTACTAAACTCAGAATTCATGTTTCAAGATGTTGGAACTCACCTGGATGAGCACAGGAGCCTGGCAGATACACAGATATCCAGTTTATTCAGTCGCTCAGTTGTGTCTGACTCTTTGTGACCCCGTGGGCTGCAGCACACCAGGCTTCCCTGTCCATCACCATCTCCTAGAGTTTGCTCAAACTCATGTTCATTGAGTTGGTGATGCTATCCAGCCATCTCATCCTCTGTTGTCCCCTTCTCCTCCTGCCTTCAGTCTTCCCCAGCATTAGGGTCTTTTCCAAGGAGTCAGCTCTTTGCATCAGGTGGCTGAAGTATTGGAGTTTCAGCTTCAACATCAGTCTTTCCAATGAACATTCAGGACTGATTTCCTTGAGGATAGACTGGTTGGATCTCTCGCAGTCCAAGGAACTCCCAAGAGTCTTCTCCAATACCACAGTTCAAAAGTATCAGTTCTTTGGCACTCAGCTTTCTTTGTAGTTCAACTCTCACAACCATACACGACTACTGAAAAAACCATAGCCTTGACTAGAGGGAACTTTGTTGGCAAAGTAATGTCTCTGCTTTTTAATATGCTGTCTAGGTTGGTCATAACTTTTCTTCCAAGGTGCAAGAGTCTTTTAATTTCATGACTGCAGTCACCATCTGCAGTGATTTTGGAGCCCCCCAAAATAAAGTCTCTCACTGTTTCCATTGTTACCACATCTATTTGCCAAGAAGATATACACAGATATACTGCATTGTTAATATTGGACTATCTGTTTCTTCCCAATTCCTTATTTAACTTTATTTTAATTCCTTATTTAACTTCACTGGATTCCATTCAGCCTTTAAATATTCCTTAACAGTCTTTGACTTCTCAAACTCAAAAAGAAAATTGCTCTGGTTCATAAATATTTTTAAAAGATTAATTTATTAATTTTAGCCTTGTCCCTTGGTATGCAAGTGGACTATTAAGTTTTCATATAGGTTCATGTGGGCCATGTATTTAATGAAAGGTAAGGTGCTATATAAAGTTCTTAAGACAGGGTTTGCTTTTTTCTTTTAATTGATGTGTACATCTAATACAATACATATCTGTGAAACTAAGATTTGAGTACTGTAATTGCTATATTTATACTATTGGTCACATGCGTCTCACACTACATTATTCTAAGACAAGTTGTCTTGCAATTAAATGTAGTATAACTAAGAATATTATCATGGATAAAATTTTAAATAAAAAGTATAATCAATCCACTGCTTTCAGGGACTTTGTGTTATCACTGTTAGACACTTGAAATTGTGATTGAATATATGTCCTTGGTTCTTGCCTGTAGTTTTCTAAAGTCTTGAAGTAATTTTCCAATAGGTAGCTCATTTTCATCTTTTATTTTAAATGCAGTTAGATGTTTTGTGACTGAAATTTCTTTAGACATTGAAAAAGGGTGACTGATTAATAAATTATCCAACAGTAATTTGAAAGTATTTTCTTGAGTATCAGGATTTATTAGACTTAACATGTACAATATATGTTATAGTCAGAGTTTGTAATATTCCTAAATGTTTGCACACACAAACACACAAAATACACACACTTGAACACTCCCCTCCTTTTTTAAATAAAAGAATTCATTCTATCATATACTTACATGTGAAGTGTTCTCTGGATTCAGTTTGAATCACTAGCTATTCCTGGAAATGGTATACAATGTTTAGGTCAGTTGTTTGCCTGGATATTTATCATTTTGACCCAGCTGCCCTTTATTTCTAGATCTAGAGTCTAAGATACAGTGTTTAAAGAAAGAAAAAGTAATCATATCAAATAATCTCCATTTCCTTCAAATTCATAACCCTCTATCTTTACCCTGCTTCATTTAGAAAAATAAACATTTTTGCTATTTAATTAATACATACAAATAAAAAATTCAAAATGCTATACAGAAAAAAGATACTACACAGAGCTCAGAAGGAAAAGCAACATTTTTCTATCTCATTCCACCCCAGGCCAAATTGAAACTCTTTAAGTAGTTTCTTTTGGTATTTACGTCCATCTTAAAAAAAAAATTAAAGATAAACATATTCTATTACATCTTTTTACTTTATTAATTATCTATTAACTTGTTAGTATGGAAGATGAGGACTTTGTACTCTTAGCTCTATGAGTTGTTTTTACCTCCAGCTTTCCATCTTTCTAATTCAGTGATGTCTATTATTTGTTGATGTTTAATTTATAAGCTGTGTTTCACTTAGAACTTTTATTCACTGATTAGCTACAGATTACATTTTCCCTGTGCAACATTTTGTTCTTTTTGAAACTGACAAATTTTCCAGAAGGCAGTAAATACTCTATTTTCCATCTGTTCAGCCATAATCAAGTATTCTTTTCTGATAGTACTGTTTTCTTTTGAAAATGAATTGTAGATGAATTTTCATGTCTGACTGGTCCCCGGCTACATATGTTGCATGGCAGTCCTTCCAAGGCTTCCACTTCCTTCTAGAAGATTGCAGGTAGGGCTTCCCAGGTGGCACTAGTGGTAAAGAACCCGCCTGCCAGTGCAGAAGACATAAGATATGCGGGTTCTATCCCTGGGTCAGGAAGATCCCCTGCAGGAGGAAATAGAAACCCACTCCAATATCTTTGCCTGGAGAATCCCATGGACAGAGGAGCCTAGCAGTCAACAGTCCAAGGGGTTGCAAAGAGTTGGACATGACTGAAGCAATTTAGCATATACAGAAGACAGCAGAAGAGAATATCTTCCTGACTTTCATAAAGAACTGATAAACAGGCCACAAAAAGCACTGGGCATAAAGAAAATTGACTAATTGGGTTATGTTAATATTAGGAACTTTTTTCGTCAAATACATCATAGAGTTAAAGCACAACCCACAGAGTTTGTAATATCAATACCGACAGAGCATATCCAGGTAACTCCTACATATCCAAATAGCTATCCAAATAACTCTGACATATCCAATTCTGACAAACCCTTGATGATACCAAGGGTGACCTCTGTCATGCCAAAGGTTCTGCCCTTTTCAAAGTTGCCAGTGATTTTTTTTTAATTTTTATAAATTTTTAATTGAAGAATAATTGCTTTACAATGTTGTGTTGGTTTCTGCCATATCTCAACATGAATTGGCCATAGGTATACACGTATCCGCTCCTTCTTGAACTTCCCTCTCCCTTCCCACTCCATCCACCCCTCTAGGTTGTCACAGAGCACCAATTTGAGCTCCCTGTGTCATCAGCAAATCCCCACTATCTATTTTACATATGGTAATGTATATGTTTCCATGCTATTCTCAGTTCATCCCACCCTCTCCTCCCCCCATCCCCTTGTCCACTAGTCTGTGCCCTATGTCTGTGTCTCCATTGCTGCCCTGCAATAGGTTCATCAATACCATCTTTCTAGATTCCACATATATGCATTAAGGGCTTCCCCGGTGGCTCAGAGGGTAAAGCGTCTGCCTGCAATGTGGGAGACCTGGGTTCGATCCCTGGGTCAGGAAGATCCTCTGGAGAAGGAAATGGCAACCCAGTCTGGTACTCTTGCCTGGAAAATGCCATGGACGGAGGAGCCTGGTAGGTTACAGTCAATGGGATGGCAAAGAGTCGGACACGACTGAGCAATGTCACTTCTTCATATGCGTTAATATCCAATATTTTTTTTTTCCTTTCTGACTTACTTCACTCTGTATAATAGACTCTAGGTTCATCTACCTCATGGATGAGCCAGTAATATTTTAATTGAAAGGAGCCAAATCTTTTATGCTATTAATTCACTCACTGTTGTGAGTTTTCCCTCTCACCTGTAGTTTTCCCCCTCAGCTGTTCTGTGTTTTTATTTTTATTTCGGGGTATAGGGCTTCCTAGGTGGCTCAGTGGTAATGAATCTGCATACTATCACAGAAGCCACAGGAGACACGGGTTCAAGCCCTGGGTTGGGAAGGTCCCATGAAGGAGGAAATGGCAACCCACTCCAGTACTCTTGCTTGGGAAATCCCATGGACAGAAGTATCTGGCGGGCTGCTGTCCATGAGGTCACAAAGAATTGGAAATGACTGAACAACTGATTTTGAAGCTGAAACTCCAATACTTTGGCCACCTGATGCGAAGAGCTGACTCATTGGAAAAGACCCTGATGCTGGGAAAGATTGAAGGCTGGAGGAGAAGGGGACGACAGAGGATGAGACGGTTAGATGGCATCACCGCCTCAATGGACATGGGTTTGGGTAAACTCTGGGAGTTGGTGATGGACAGGGAGGCCTGGCATCCTGCAGTCCATGGGGTCGCCAAGAGTCAGACACGACTGAGGGACTGAACTGACTGGCTGAGTAACTGAAACACACACACACACACACACACACACACACGTGATAGTTTCAGGTGAAGAGCGAAGGGACTCAGGCATACTGTGTTTTCAAATCACACTTGTCAAATGCTGTCCGCTTCCTGTCCGTCTTCTTTGCTGACTCTTCCTCTGTGATGATGCGCTACTACAGAGGGCCATTCTTGGCTCTGATTCTATCAAGCCACTCAGGAAACTCAGTCGTGTCCCTGACTTCAGTCATCACATTGATTCTGCTGACTGCCAAATCCAAATCTTAATTTAGTGTCCACGTCTCCCGTGTGAGTTCTCACCCTGATTCCTCCTCATCTCCTTGTTGGACGGGCCTTTCTGAATGCCCTCTACTTTTATCAGCTCAATGTATCTCTAATCAAACTAATTTTCTGCTCAGAATTTTCTGCTACAGTCCTATATACATTCTCTCCCTATCCCATTCTCTCAAATTAGAAACTGTTACATTTGATGTGTCATTTTCACTAGTCCCCCAGGTCCAATTTGTCAAAACCAAGTCTTTCATAATCCACCCCCCCCCCAATATCCCCACTGAATGAATACTCCAGCCAAACAAATACTTGTTCTTCACTGGACTCCTCTGAGAACTTTCAGATGACATTCTTCTGCCCAACATTATTACAGTAATACTGTTTTTTGGTTTTTTTTTTTAACAAACGTAAAAACATCTCTTAAGTCACAGTAGTTCACCTTTCACTGGGAACTGCCCCCAACACACAGGGCTGTCTCTACTGTTACCATGTCTGTAAATGATACGGTTCTGCCCCGTGATGAATTCATGAGATGATGTCTGATCCAAGCAGGACAAGTGAAATTTGCTAGGGAATTGGGCATTTTGAACAAAATCAGAAATACAAATAGGACAGAAATTAGGAATGATTTGTTGTTGTTCAGTCGCTAAGTCGCGTCTGTCTCTTTGTGAACCCATGGACTGCAGCACACCAGGCTTCCCTGTCCTTCGCTATCTCCTGGAGCTTGCTCAAACTCATGTCCATCGAGTCAGTGATGCCATCCAAATATCTCATCCTCTGTCATCCCCCTCTTTTCCTGCTTTTAATCTTTCCCAGCATCAGGGTATTTCCCAATGATTGGGGATAACTTATAAAGGCAGGTCAGCACTGCATAAGAAACCTGGTAGTTCTCAGGGAGAGGTCAGCCCTCAGGCTGAGCTTGATATCATCATTAAATCCCACCACCCAGTGGTCATCTCCCTGGCTGCATGTTAGGATCACCATGGGTCTCACTGAGTGAATCTGATTTACTAGATCCGGAAAGTGACCTGGCCATCTGCATTTTTTAAACATTTCCTAGGTGATTTTCAGAGTGGCCAGAACTGGGAACTTTTTCCTACACTGTACTGCTCCCCTGAAGTAACAATTTGTTAGAAGTAGCCCCCTCATCCACCCACACACTCTCCTAGCTGCACAAACCTCAAGAGCTTCATGATATAATTTGATGTCTTAGAATTGAAATGTTGCTTCGATTCATCCCTTTGCCACCTAGTGAGCATGATTTGAAAATTATTGTACTAGCCTTTCTTATTTCCACAAATAAACACTAGATGGCAAACTATACACAGAGAATCATCTTATGTTAAGCATTTTTATCTCTGAAACATTTGTTTTTTCCTTCAAATAACCTTATTAGCCAATAATTGAGCTTAATAATATAGTATTAAAACCAAGGGGATTTTCCCATAAACTGAATCACTGTATGGTGGATCAACTCATATTCATTTAAGCAGCACCATGGATATCCTATATAGATATACACTATGGCCTGAATTTTAGTTGTCTTTTCAGCTTTAACTTTAAAAGGGGGTTCATTAATTATAAACACATATAAAAAGAAATACTCGAGAATACTTTTCTACCAACAGATTTCAATGCCTTGTCAAAAAATTGACTTATTAATAAAAAAATTTCCTAAAGTCCTACTTATCTTTCTTAGGAAGCTTATGGAAAGCCAGTCCTGAAAAGCTGGGGTGCTTAGACAGTGTCAGATATCCACTTTTCCTAATAGGCCCCCAGGTCTTTTGGAATGCAGTTTAAATTCCTCGATACCAATTAGAAAAGCATTCAAGATCTGATTCACCTCTCCTGTTCTCTCAACCCTCTCACTGCCCGTCCCACATGTAACATATAGAGCTCAGACTGGATTTCTTTCTTCTTCAGCAACATCTTGTCTCATCAATGTTCACAAGCTGCAATTTTTTGTTGTTGTTGATAGCATTCTCTCCCACTTTCAATTTTGAAGCCCATCTTAACCTATGGTTAACCCACCTTCACATGTTTAACTTCTACTTGCATTTTAGGTCTTGGACAACATGTA